ATTTGCCCTGTGGTGGGAATGGCAGGTAATGAGAGAAAACCATTTGGTTACTTCACTGCTCATCCCAAGAAGTTCTGCAGCGTCAGTTTCTGCAGTGTCAATTTCTGCAGCGTCAATTTCTGCAGAGAGCTGAATGAACACACTTCCTTCTGCAGGAGCCTGTGTAAACAGAGATACTGTAACCAACCTCACCTCAACACAAGGGAGAATCTCTGGCAGCTTTTCATTTTATCAAGTAAGAAGAAATCTTCCAAATTCTCCACTCAGGAGTCACTTCAGTCAAGTTGATTACCAAAGTAATTTTCTTAATTTGCAAGTTTAAGGCAGAGCGGAGCCTACAGAAAACAGCTCAAATACCTGCAAATGGGATTTTTTTTCAGTTATGCAGAGATTTCTGCCTTGATTCCTAGTGATAATTTGTGGATGCACAGCATTGTTGCCTCATAAATAACACATTTCCATTTAGGAGTCTGTTCCCCACACTGAAACAATGTCACTAATAAACAGTTTGTAGGGATAGAGCTGACATCCCCCCTTATTCAGAATATACCTTTACATATGTGACCAATATATACCAAGACAAAATATTATCCAAGTACTTTTTAAAGGTAAAAAACCAGCTGTTTAAGAAGCAAGAGTGATGTCACCAAATTAAATATAATATGAAAAATCTAAGGATAGGAGGAAGAGGGAGGAGAATAACACACAAACAAACCAAAACCAGCAAAGAATGTCTTCCAACACAGCTACCTCCACAAATCCTTATTCCTCCCTGTTCCTAACCAATCTCAAGTAATGCTGCTTGTTCAACATGAATAAAACAAAATAAATTTCTCTCCATATGGTCTCTTTAAATTGAGATCTAAAAATAGACAGACAGCCATCAAGAAGGCTTAAACAATTTTATCAGCGCTTGATTTATTTCAGCTTTCTGCTCTCTCTGGTCACAATTCAGTGCAACCCATAAATAAGTTAGGCTGGTAAAGGAGATTGAATTTTTGAGGCCAGAACAGTAATTGAGGAATTCAGCCTGGAGGTTGAAATATCCCCGGGGATATAAGCCTTTGGACCTATTAGCAGCTGTCTACTACTTTTCCAGCCACGGACACCTATGACCACGTCAACATAAGGAACTGATTTAAGGTTCTTTGTGACACACACAGACATGTACTGGGCTCCACTGTGCTGTTACTCTGAAGCAAGAATAGCTCAGGAAAATCTCTGACTAAAAACATCTCAGAACTATGGGAAAGCCCAATTTCCTATGAAGAAAGTCTGCATCAGTGCAGCATAATTTGATTATACAGAAAGCTGTGTTTTACACTTTTTCCACACTGTATTAGCACTTGTAAAGGAAAGACTGAAAGTGAAGCCTGAAAGAAATTTGAATTTTTTTTTTACTTAAAAGCCAAACAGGCAAAACCAAAGCCCAGTCATCACCTGCCATTCTTTCGGTCACTCCCTCAGGATCAGACTTTGAGCAGAAAACCTCCACAGGCAACCAAAGTAAGAAGGATGGATTGCAAACCCAACCCCTGACCAAAGGCCAAAAAAAAAGTATCTCCAGGCCTTACTCTGCATGAAGTCGTGGAAAAGGCCAGGCCTGCAGGGAGTGCCCGAGCCCCCGTGAGGCAGCGGGGCTGTCGTGGCGCAGCCGTGAGGGCTCTCGGCTCAGCCGCACCCGCCCGCCTGCCGGGGCCGGCCCGCGCTGCCCCATCGCGGCTGCTCTGCCCTGTGAGGGGCCACGGCCGAATCACAGCTCCAGGCGCAGGAATTGGCACCGCACGGCTCAAAGGGCAGGAACTGGCACCGCGCTCCTCCCTCAGGAGCCGGGCACCCCCCGGACCCCACGCGAACGCTGTTTCTGGATGCGGCACTCGGAGCGGGCCGCGGCTCCGCAGCAGTGGGGCTCCCCACACACCTGCCCGAGCAGCCGGGCTGCGACAGGGACAGGGACATGGACAGGGACAGTCACACACCGAAACCACAGGGGGACTTGGTGACGGACATAAAGGGCACTCTGGGGACTCAGGGCAGGGCTGGAACCCCTGCTCAGGGCCCTGGGCACAAGGAACTGAGGCTGGAAGTGAGGGGGCAGCCAGGGGTTAGCATGAGGCTGACCTGCCCCTCAGGGAAAAAACAGCATTTAACTCAAAATCACTAAGAGATGGATTAAAAATGGAAGAGGAAATACGATGAAAAGACACTTACTAAATCACTATTAAAATACACACTTCCAACTTTCGTAGTCTGAAAAAAGAAAGAAAACAACTATACATCTGGTTTTGTTTTGTAAGAAAAGATGACAGCAACTGAAACGAAAAAGCATTTGTTAAAAATTGGTTTTGACTATCACATTTGTTCTGATCGAGCCTATCAGCTTGTTTTGAAGAAAGGCTCCTGACTGCATAAGGTACAAACACAAAACAGCAATCGTTTGTTAGACCTGGTAAATGCCAAGAAGACAGACAGTATAATGGAATTTAGCACTACCAGTTATTCATAAATAATTCTTCTGATTAATTATTCACACACCTTCATCATCATTTGTCTTGTAAGTCTGTTGTCATAGGCGCCTTGTGCTCTGCTCCTACTGGATCTTGGCACAGACAGGACCGGTGCTTTGGATGTGTGACACTAAACCAGGATCTCTTCTGAATAACAACGTGCTGCTCATAAAATGCTCTCTCCAGCTTGCTCTGTGGCAGCTCCTGCCTCCCCAGGGACTGGGCACAGCTCAGCCCCACAGAGGGCAGATGAGGGTTTCCCATTTCCCCATCCCAACTCCTCTGGCAAGCCACTGTCTGATCTAGAGCCATTCAAGTGAGAAGAGGAATGCATTTCCTTCCTCCTGTTTGGCAGTATTTATCCATGACCACCAGGATACTGCTCAGTTAGACATTTTCTCTGTAAGTCTTGTAAACAAAAATGCAGAATCTAAAAAAACTTTTATCTTAAGCAAGCAAAGAAAATAAATCTTCTTTCTTCATCAAGAAAATGTCTTGAATAATAATAATTTCTATTAGAAATGTGGTTGGACAGCGAGCCTCCTAAAAGAAAGCCACTCCTCTGCAGCTCAGCAGCTCCCCATGAAGGTCCCTGCATGCAGTGGGCTGTGCAGAGATGCAGAATGATCACCAGCCCTGTGGTGTTCAGCTGCAGCTCTTCCCCCCTCACCTTGTGCTCCAGTTGACAGACAAGAGACCACAGCAATTAAAAAAAAAAAAAATCACAAGGGCACCTTCTGACCAGGTGCTGCAAGCATGTTACTCATGACAAATTTTTTAAGCTCAACTACCTCCTACATACTACAAGGTACACAAGTCTGCTTCCCAGAGAAATGGCACTTTGGCAGAGGGATAACTCAGCATTAGCTTCCACAGCCCTTGCTTGCAGTTGTACCAGTAGTGAGGCACACAGGCTGAGCAACTCATACAGCTGGAAGTGTTCAGGATTTGTGGTTGTAGTATACTCCTCAAATGGCTTTAGCTGCTGCACAATGACTATTCACTTACAAACATTCATAGGAAAGGGTTAATAATCCTACAGACACACTTCTATAGAGCACACAAACCAGTTAATTCTTGCAATTAATTTAAAGATAAGTGAACAGAACAACTACAGATATTATGCAATATAAATTATTTAATGTTAAACTCATATGAAGTAAAATACTTTATGTAAATATTAACTAACATCCAATGAGATTCATCACCTTTGTCTGCTTTGTACAGATTTTTACTTCCCTATTTTTGGAGAAAATTAAAACTCGGTACTTGCTGAACATCCTATCTTTAAAATTTAGTAAATAAAAAAGTTGTATGTAATATAATTTTTAGATGAAGTATCCCACTTCAAGGATTAAGGACATCAAATACAACAGTAGAAAAGGTCATTCAAAAAACATCACATTTCTTGAGCTGTTAATTAGTACATACATGTGAGGCTATAAACTAACATGCTGTATCTCCCTGCACAAGCCCAAGCATCTTGGTGTACACATAGCACGTATACACTGCATTTATACTGTACCATCTTAGGGATTTCACCCCAGTGACACATTTTCTGGCCAACTTACCATATGCTTTTCAGATGGTATTTATATTACAGTTTGCAGAGGAAATACGGCAAATTTTAAATTATGGCAAAATTTTAATTTCATCAAAATAAGGAATTCTATTTTTGTTACTAGAATTCTCACTAAAATGTCATTTTCTAAATATCTGAACTCATAAATCAACAGATGATAAACTGAGTACAATGCCAGTCCATGTCACACACTCCCCAAGACCCCTACATAAGTTTAAATATTATTCTTCTCTGAACTACACAACACATATGTGGGTGGTAGGTGTGAGGTTTTCCAGTGATTGCTGTAGTACATATCCAAGTTTGGAACAGAACTACAAATTATTATTTGTGAGGATAACTAGCATAACATGACAGCAAATACTAAAAATGCCTTTGAAAGCTTTCTTTGATCACACTGTTTCAGATAAACTGCTGGCTGTTTAAAACTATTTATCTCAGTGCTGACACTTAGTAAGTACCACCACAATATACTTGTGATTTAGCAGCATCTTTTCCATCAAAATAATCCTGGGAGTCAGGTAAAAACAATCTCAAGTGTGATTTATTGAGCATTTCCATCTGCCTGATTAGACATTAGATTTGAATTTTGGTGGGTGAGGATGACAGCAGGGCCAACTCCAGGCTAGGTGATATCACCAATACTATTTTCCAAACCTAAGTCCTGCATCAGCGTTAGCTTTGCCAGGTGTCAACTGCAATGGAATCCTGGCTGGCTGACGTAAAAAGGAGATAAAACAAACACTATATTCTTCAAATTGAAACATTTTCCCCAGGACAAGAATGAAAATAAGTCTGGACCACAATGGACTGATGAAAATTAATACATCCTCCCCCACACTGTAATCATTAAAATAGATTTTTATCTGCTTTTACCACTACGGAAAAACAACAGACAAAGTAAAAAAAGCTCAGGGCCAGCATCTTTTATTATTTAATTATTTGCATGAACGTGGAAAAGTTACCCAGGAAAAGTCTAACTTTCCGAGGAGCACATGGTATCTCAAACAATAAAGCCTCATTCTCCATCTTTGCTGACAAGGTCTTCTCAAATTGCACAATTTTAAGTACTGCCCAAACTAGCATCCATCCTGTTATTTTACATTAAAAAAAATTCAAATTGTAAATGGTCTATTCATTAAAATGTACTTTTCTTCAACTGCAAGCACAATTCTAAATGATGTCAGGTGAGGCAGTAAGGAATTGTTAACTGCTGAAGAGACGTAAAAAGCAAATAAAAGCACTTTAAGAGTCTTCTTCCATAGGCACATCCTCTTGTAGTTTCTGCACCATTTTGTCCTCCAGCTGTTTTGGTGTACCTTCAAAAAGAACAAATCAAATTCAACATGTTTCTCTAAACCCAAATAACTGTTTTTCTTTGAACACTATATATGTCTAGTCCAGGTGAAACAGCCTAAATATATTGCTTGTAGAGTTGTTTATGAGCAAATCTATCAAGCTCAAAGATATTTACTGCTAACCTCCACCACCTCTTAAACTTGTTTTAGCAGAAAAGCTGATGCTGTTTTTATGCAAAATCTAAAATGCAGTCAAACCTGTGTTTTCATCTGCTATGACAAACTGATACAGCTGCCAATACCTGCTTGTAAAGGACTACAAAAATTCATTACTTACTACAGATCAATGGCCTTCTCCCACTAGTTTTCAAATGAACATTTAAAGCCCTCCTGAGTACTGTGTTGGACAGCAAGAATGCTAACTCTCAATAAGATGACCAAAAAAGAAAAACAAGGAAAAAGGAAAATCCAAGACTTAAATTTTATTCTGCTCTCTGCCTAGTCAGAATTGCAGAATACCAAGAAGGCAGCTGGTGGACCACACAGTGCTGTGCATTATTTATTTAATAAAAGCAAAGACAAACACAGAAATAATCACTTTAATTTATAATTGTGAATCCAGATCTTTTTCCTTTCCTCAAAAAAAAAAAAAAGAGGGGGGCAGGGGGACATGACAGATTAAACCAAAGTGTAAACATACCCTGACATAAATCCAAAGTTCTAAACTATAGAACAGACTTCTAATTAATATCTCATAATGAAGAAACAAAGTCACTGTTGTTTTTTATGAAACAGGAGGTAACGGAAATGTTTTTAACTTGTCTTCATTAGTCTACTTCATTAAGTGTATTTTTCAAAGTAAATAATGTATTTAAAATGTGACTTCACTGAAGGATCAGTATTTTCATGTAAGTTCTATACAACTGACTGACAAATTCAAGCAGCAAAGTTGAACTACAGTATTTTATATCATTCAGTGGTAGAGTCTGTTGAGTTCAACTAACCAGTTCAAAGGGAAGACTTAAGATAAATGCATCAGATAACAAACATGCAGTTCATGCAGCACCAGGTATTGAGTGCAATTTAAAACACTCAAGATAAGGAAGAGAAAGGATGAATGCAGGACTAGATAAATAAAAAGGTATATTTGATTCAGAACTAAGACACTACTTACATTTACTGGCAAGAACTATTCTCCATATTCAACAGACCAATTAATTGTAAGACAAATGTACAAGATTACTGATCTGTAAAATGAGTCACTCATCCTAAAACTGTGTAGACAAACCAGTAAATCAAGTTCTTACCTGCATGGGGAGCACGAAGAAGGTGGATATTCTGTTTGACTTCTTTGATGTCTTCTGCCTCCTGCAACTCTTTGCTCTTCTTTAATCTGGGAAAGGGGAAAATTAGATTTAATTTCCTTCAAAGAGGAGATACAGGCTTTCATTTTAATGCATAGTATCTCTTGCTAAAGGTATGTACAGGCTGTAGATAACTATGATTATGAGGAAATAAAGGTAAAAAGTATTTGAAAACCAATTCAAGATACTCAATTCAACACTGGATACAAAGCCACAAAAATGCAGCGCTGTACCAACTCCTATCAGAATTTTGTTTAAATTTCAGACTCTGGATACAAACAAGTACATTACAGCTATTATCCTGGAGTGTCCAAAAGCTACATTTCCTTGGACAGCCAATAACACAGGGTAGAGCCCACCCAGTGTATTTTACCCCATCACTTGGATGACTGTTTATATACAAAGCAAGTAACTCTTTAAAACTGGATCATCCCATTTCTGGAAAGGTTGTCTAACACACACATGCAAGGGTTCCCATTACACAGATAATTCTCACCTGTTCATAATAAATCTGGCTTGGCGTTTTTGCTTTATTTCCTCCACTCTCTTCATTGCATCCACTGAAATAAAGCAGAAGTTGTTTTAAACGTGCTTAAATCCCTGCAGCAGAAAATCCATGCTATTTGGTAAAGCAGCTCTTACCAGTACTTCCATAACCTAAGTATCAGAGGCAACTCTTGCACTATGTATTCCTTCTCCAAAGAGCAGGATAAAGGAATGTTCTGTGTAGCAACTCTGATTTTAAAACTTATTTATGCTTCCACTTTTGTGCCTACACATAATTTCTATAGTTATCCATCACTGCAAAAGATTGTACTTGAAAAAAGATGCAAGTTACCACCTTCTCCTTTGTGGCATTCATTCATATGAATATAAGCAGTTCTCCTATTTTATGGCAATTGTTCCTATGAAGCAAACTGAAGTGGCACGAGCACAAACACAAAAACAACTGCACCATGTAAAAGGCTTACATTGGGAGCCTCTTAAAAAGCTGGAAAACCACTAAGGGGTTTTGAAGACAATAATTCAAAATAAAGGACTTCTGGTCCTCATTTTCAAACCAACTTCTGGCCATTGGGAGCCTCTTAAAAAGCTGGAAAACTACTAAGAGGTTTTGAAGACAATAATTCAAAATAAAGGACTTCTGGCAAAAAAATTTCTGGCAAAAAAAAACATCAAGTGAAACTCCACACCTGCTTACAACTCAAACCTCCTCTACAGGTTTGGTCATGATTTCAGTAATTTCAAACACAATCACTACAAGCTGTCAATACTCTAAAAATTCTTTTGAAAACACATTCATGATAAGTAAAGAATTAATTTTTTTGGTTTTTCCTATAATGACTCACCAGTCTTGTTCCACAACTCTCTCTGGTATTTCACTGGTTCGTTCCTACGTTTTTCAAATTCAAATGAATTATCCTGTATCAAGAAAAAGTAAATACAGATTTTTGCAGAACCTTTTTTAGATCAATACATTCTTACTGTAGCAGTCACTCACATAACTGAATATTTTATGGGATTCTTTTCCCCCGCTTTCAGAAGCTCAGAAGTTCCTAGACTTGAACAATCATTAGAGAGAAATATGAGAAGGAAATTGAGTCGAGTGTCTGACCTCAAAGTGTCAGGAGCCACGGTGATTTGTATGAAGAGAACTATTTACCACAACATCACCCTCAGCTATTTTCTATTTAGCAAGACAAAGGGAACACAGAAAACCCACGTGGAATAGGAAGTACTGAGCAGATTAGACAGGTGGAAGGCAAAATTGAAAACCTATAGATTTGAAAGTATTTATTGCAGGAGAAATAAGCTTTACTCAACAGCTTGTAATTTTGAAGTGGTTTAAAAAAAATACCCCAACCACAATTTCATTTTAAGAATACTGAAACAGTCTAATTTGAAATTGTGAAATATTTCAGTCGATACCTCTGGCACTTGGGACAGTTGCCATCCCCCTAACCATGTCCCTTCGTTCCCCTGAGCTGAAGAGGAAAAAAACACTTTCCTGATTTTTTTTTTTGCCAGGCACACTTAGCTATATCAGTTTTATCTGAGGACTTCTCCCTGCCCAAAGGTTGTTTTTTGTTGTGGTAAAGCTGAGTTACACAGCACTAAGTTCATATATTGGCTTGATTCTTAAAATACATTATCTCAGAATTGGAACATATTGTCATCTATTTGGACATGTATAAAGTAATTTTAAATTCAGTTATTTTCAAAAAGGTAATTCAACATAGCCAGAAACAACTAAAAAGCAAGAAACAAAATTACTGAATATGCTAATTAACCATGGCTTTTCAGAGCCACATTAAAAAACAAAACCACATTCCTTCCCTTGAAAGATCCACAAAAGGCAGGAAATCACTGTATCAAAATGCTTACTAAATTTTTAATATTCTGTAAACAAATAGGCAATTAAGTCACAATAATTCTTGAATTATTTAAGGACTGTCCCACCAAATATGAATGTTTCATACTTTTACCACTGAAGCAACTTTGTTTTGAAATTGCATTTGAGGTCTCATGTTGTTTTTCAAACATTCCTATCTATGCAAAGACTTTTCCTACACACTGTAAGCTTTAGAGAGACTTTACAGGTAAATATTTTAAGGGTCTACATAGAGAGACTTCCTCAGGTACCTGGTCACTCAGATTATTTGTGCAGAAACACAACTACCAATTGTATAGATACAGAGTGTAGAGGATTTATCAGTGGGAAAAAATGCCTTGGACTTGGGAGCCACCACGTGTTCCCAGAGCAGACACCTGACACACTGGCTTCCATCCCAAAGCTGGAAGATCCAGGTTTTAATCAAGCTGAATGAACAGCTCACTCTCAAGAAACTCTCACAGTCTCTTCCAGAACCCCTCTTCTCCCCAGCTCATTTCATTAAATGACAATGCTTTAAGGCACCCAGCCCAGCCTGTGTGCCACAGCAAGAGCCATTTTAGTGTGCTAATGTGAAGTGGGAACCAGTTCAGCTTCTTACCACTGTCAGTTCTTTGCCAGCTGCTTTACGGAATGCTTTAGTCCATCTCATCTTTCTGGGATTTCGCTTCTTTTTGAAGTTTCTGTGGCATTTTGATTTGCAGAATCGAAATATCTTAAAGAAGGGGATGATAAAGAAGAAAAATCTTAGTCAAATCATGTTATTCAGGCCCCACTGCAAGTGTGATATCAAACACTGAGGTTACTCTAACAATATTGCTAATGAGAAATTACATTCAGCTTCCAAGTGCCAGTATTTTTACAGAAAATACAGCTATTAACAAAAATAATTTCCAGGACTAATTTTTTTTTTCATTATAATGTCATTTTCACAGCTGCCAGGGTTAAGCACAAGTACTTAAAATTAAGCTGATTATACATAAAATACACCTGAGTTTTGAGAATTATCATCTGCAAAAATAACCATAAAACCAAACCTGTAGTATGAATAAACAATTTTCTACAGCTGCCAGCACTTCTTAGACACAGTACCACCCTGAGAACAACAAAAAATCCTCACACCTCTCATACTGAATGCAACACACACAAAAACATCTATTTCTGGGATGCAGCCTTAAGCCCCAAGGATTACCCTGCAGGAGTCCTAAGCACATCAGTTAAGTCCTGGACTGAAATTACTGAAAGCTGTTAAAGCATATCACAAAACAATTTAATTGGCCTTTTTCTTTTTTCCTTATTTTTCTACATATTCTATGGAATACTAGACTCTTCACTTAAAAACGGCCAGAATTATATGCCATTCATGAGGTTTTGAAAACTCTATTTTTCACAGCCATATCCTCCTTCCTATCTAATAGTCAATTCTAAAAAGAATTAATAGAAAATATGAAACTTTTAATTACGGCAATCATTTCAAATCCTCTTTTTTTTTTTTTTAACTCTTCTACCACATTTTTTCACCTCAACTCAGGCACACCTGCCGTGGTGTTTTGCCTTTTCACAGATCATCTGTTCACAAGTGATGCTTTTAAGAACACCCCTGGTGGCCGCGGTGCGCACACGGCCTTGTTGGTGCGCTCCCAGCCCGAGCCAGGGCACACACAGCCGTGTCAGGGCATAAACAGCCCATGTCAGGGCGCACACAGCCGTGTCAGGGCACTCCCGGCCCGTGTCAGGGCACTCCCGGCCCGTGCCAGGGCACACACAGCCCGTGCCAGGGCGCACACAGCCCTGTCAGGGCGCACACAGCCCGAGCCAGGGCGCACACAGCCGTGTCAGGGCGCACACAGCCCGTGCCAGGGCGCACACAGCCGTGTCAGGGCACACACAGCCCGTGTCACGGCGCACACAGCCCGTGTCAGGGCACACACAGCCCGTGTCAAGGCGCTCCCAGCCCGTGTCAAGGCGCACACAGCCGTGTCAAGGCGCACACAGCCGTGTCAAGGCGCACACAGCCGTGTCAAGGCGCACACAGCCGTGTCAAGGCGCACACAGCCGTGTCAAGGCGCACACAGCCGTGTCAAGGCGCACACAGCCGTGTCAAGGCGCACACAGCCGTGTCAAGGCGCACACAGCCGTGTCAAGGCGCACACAGCCGTGTCAAGGCGCACACAGCCGTGTCAAGGCGCACACAGCCGTGTCAAGGCGCACACAGCCGTGTCAAGGCGCACACAGCCGTGTCAAGGCGCACACAGCCGTGTCAAGGCGCACACAGCCGTGTCAAGGCGCACACAGCCGTGTCAAGGCGCACACAGCCGTGTCAAGGCGCACACAGCCGTGTCAGGGCACACACAGCCCGTGTCACGGCGCACACAGCCCGTGTCAGGGCACACCCAGCCCGTGTCAAGGCGCTCCCAGCCCGGGTCAAGGCGCTCCCAGCCCGTGTCAGGGCGCTCCACCGCGGCCCCCGGCGCTGTGACTGACGCTAGCGGCCCAGCCCGCCCGCGATCCGTTCTGATGCCCGGGCCCGGCATCACTGCTTCGCCGCCCGCTGGGGGCTCCGACGCCCCGCAGCAACACAGGGAGCGCGGCAGAGGCTGTGAGCGATACACAGCGTGGTGTGTACAGAGCTGTCAGGCCGGTGCAGAGCCCGGAGTGCCGCGGCCGGGGGGACACACCGGATCCCGCGGCCACGGCTCCTCCCGCACTGCCCGGAGCCGAACCTGCTGCCACCTGGAGCCAAAGTCTGAAAATTAAAGGGGGAGCATTCTGTGGAGCTCTGCGAAGTGTATGATTTCTTACTAAAAACTGAAATAATTCACCACTCTTGCCGACGGCCACAGCACCTGCCAAATTACGGCATCGCTCCAGATGCTAATATTTAAATATCAGTAAGACATGAATTTCGCAGATTCACAGAACAGTCAGAGTTGGAACGGACCCACAGACAACGAGGATTTCTGACCCCAGCTCTTAAGCAAATGGCCCGTACAGGGACCGAACCCACAAGCTCAGCGTTCTCAGCACCGTGCTCGGACCAGCTGCGCTCATCTCGGGCTCCCGCCCGCCCACACGCGCGGGCGGTGCGTGCGTACCCGGGCAGGGCGCGGTGCCGACCGCCAGCAGCGGCCCCGGCCCGGCACAGGGGCTCCGGCGGCTCCCGCTGCGCTGCCGCAGCGCACCCTGCCGGCCCCGCCGCCGGCCACACGGGCACGAGGCCCTGGCTCCTGTTTACAAAGGGAAAATTGTGTTCCAAGGGCGAGAGATTAACGAATCGATACGGACACAAGGATAGACAGAGTAACCCAAGGGAAAGAAAGGCAGTTAGACATAGATTTTTAAGTCTACAGTTGATTTACTGTAAAATTCAGGCACCTGTTACTCCTTCTGTTCCCTCTCCTAGAGTTTCCTGTTTATTGTGAAAGAACCTAAATACTAGGCCCTGTACCATCCAAATTGTTTGGAATTGGAAGTCTTCTCTTTATTCTTCAATTGTAGGATGCTGTCCCAGCTCTGAGACTGAAATACTCCTTGCCACAAAAGCCTTTACCACCACAATTCCTGCCTCTCCATTTAAAAGAAACTGACACCCTGCTTATCTGGTGAAAAATCCATGTGTTGAATTGCATGTGCTTCTAAAGCAGTTTTTGCTTTCTGGTTTCTAGAACAAAAGAAAGGCAGCTTGGCGCTGTATTAAGAAACGTGTTGAATTGCATGTGCTTCTAAAGCAGTTTTTGCTTTCTGGTTTCTAGAACAACAAAAGAAAGGCATTCAGCTTGGCGCTGTATTAAGAAATACCAGAGGAATAACGAAAACGCGCTTTCTGGCAGGGGAGTGGCGTTTTCAGCACGGAGGCTGTCTCCAGCCCTGCCCTGGACGAGAGCAGCCCTGAGCCCGGCTGCTGCAGGGCAGCGGGGCCGCAGCACAGGAGTGGCCCGGCTGCTGCTCTCACACCGCAGCGAGCGAGGGCTGGGACAGAGGATGGCAAGCTGGGCAAGGAGAGGAAACTTCTCTGTGTGAAGACACACACACAGTCCAGTTTTATCAGGGAAGCTATTTTACAGCTGCAGGAAAAACAAATAGTAAACAAGTTTGCTTAGGTCCTGGCTGTTCTCCTTTTTCAGTTTGATTACTTCGAGTTTCCTGCCTTGTGCCATTCTTTTCCCCATGGGCTGTATTTATTTTCCTGGCAGAGCACTGTGTTGTGAAGCATTTGGTGGCTTCTACAGTTTAAACACTTTGAATTACAGACTGTCACCAATACATCCAGCAGACAGGATGTGAGTGCACAGTGATAGTATAAGCATTTACCATTAAATTATCACTCCCAGCTCTTTTTTTCACATCAAAGCACTAATCTCCTATACAAGCCATTATGCTGTAGATTTGAAGTGCTTCTTCTTGACTAAAATGCAATATAGGTTGAAGGTTGCTGGTGACAGAATCCAGATTAATTATAGAAAACCAATATGTACTTCTACTCTATTAATAGTTATTCACAGACAGAATTAGGTATCCAGGTGAAAAACAGTCTCACTGGAAGAAGTGATTTTGCAGCAAACCAAGTGGCTCATTTGTTTTTGACAAGATTTCTACAGCAAGAACTGTTTCACCAAACATCTCAACTCACTATCTTAAACTCCTAGCAAAGCTCTGATCTGCAAATATTTACATACTCGCACAAGTTTCCTAACAGAAGTAAAAGAACCGTCATACCGTCATGCGAAAGAATAAACAACTGTCAGGCAAATGCACTTATAGGATCAGGTTCAGAGACATATGATCATGTTGGGTAGAAGACTTCTAGGGCTCATCTTCAGCAAAGCCCAGCTCAAAGCAGAACAAATTAATACCAGGCTCAAGGCCACATCCAGTTTAGTTTTTAGTGTCTTCAAGGACAAAGACTCCATAACCGTCCTGAGCGCCTGTTCCAATTTCTGACCACTTTTGTGGTGGCAATCTTTTCCTACTATTTAATCTTAATTTTCTAGAAAACATTTCTCTCTTGCCTCTTTCCTACCCCTGTGCCCTCTGAGATGGGTCTGGCTCCACCCATTAGAGTTCAAGACATCAGAAAAGCCTCCCTTAGCTTAAATCTAAGCAAACTCTGTTCTGTCTCTTCCTACCCCTTGTGCTCCAGCCCTCTGATCTTAGTGGCATCTGCTGGACTCACTCCAATGTGTCAATGTCTTTCTGAGGTGTCCAAAACAGGGCACAGAACTCCAGTCGATCTTACAATTACTGAAGATAAGGAAGGACTGACTTTCCCAACCTGCCACCTTCATTTTACCAGTGCAGCCGTGGGTACAGCTGGCCTTCTCTGCCACAGCAGCACACTTTTGTGTTTTGGTCAGCCTGGAAAAGGATGCTCATCTCCTTGTCTGAAAAATGTTTTTTCAGCTGGCACTACTGCATAGGGTTATTGCAGCCCAGGGGGAATACCCAGTGACACTTGACATTTCCCCTTTTTAAAATGAATGAGGTTTAGTTCAGCTCATTCTCTTGCCTCTCAAGGAACCTCTAAATGGCAGCAAAGTCCTCCAGCACATTATAACCTACCTGGTAATAGAGACTGCTCTTGATGGAAGCAGTTACTCTAAAAAATCAGGCTCCTTACCTTTGCAGAAGCAATAAAGTTGACAAAATGTATTGCTTGGTTCCCTTTGCTCTGAACACGCGACACGCTCAGATGAGCGGCATTCTGAATGTCTTATGAACACAGAACTGATGTCTCCATTGTCCCTCTGGGTTTAGGCTCCTCCTGGTATCACCCAGCATTCACCAGGCTCCTGTCTGACTGGTTTGGTCAGTGCAAGAGAGGGTCACCAAGCACCTCAACCACAGCACAGACCTTGGACACATCTGAACAGAGTCCTCACAACACACAGGGACAGTGCAGGACACAGGCTGACATTGAACTAAGACAACAGGAAACGTTACAATTCAGTTCAACAGTGCTGGCAAAGTTCATATCAGGAATGTTTAACTATTTTATATTATTATAAGAAATTCTGGGACAATCCACCTTAATGGAAACACTTTCCAAACTTGGTTCAATTACAGATCAATGTCTCCATCTGACACTGAAAGGAAACAACTTTTCTTGAAATAGCAGTTTCACATCACCTAAGAATTATTGTTTCTTAAAGCCAGTACTAATCTAGTAAGAGCAGTGTAATTTACTGTCAAGAAACATTTACCGTGATTTCTCATGAGAGTTTAAAAGGGAACAAAAGTTTTGTCACACAATAATTCAAACAGATAAATCTTATGGCACATTTCAAAGGCTGACATCAAGGCAGTTTTATGAAGATCCTCTTTGTAAATAGTTACAAATAATAGGCATGACACAAATATGACAGTTTCAGTATTTAATATTTAATATCCAATTTAAACATAAGTATTCAAAAGGAAATATTTTTACACTATTTCAGTAGTCACTTAGCTCAATAGCTGGTTGCAGTAATCCTTAAAGTTTTCAGGAACTGGATGGAGCTATAAGCACAAAAACTCCCATTTTAAGTTAATGCATGACAAAGTTCCACTGCAACCCTCTGAAAACCAAAGAGTTACATTAAAAGAAATTCAGACACTGAAGTACATTGAAATGTATTGTGTCTTACACTAGAGTTTCTTACTCTACTGGTCAGAAACATGATGGTAACTTCAAAAGGCACTCTGAATTAAACTACAGTAATTCCGGTCTACAAGCATTTTAGAAGTGGAGTAGAAAAAACCAAAACCCTATACTCATATAAATTTCTTTTACCTCTGTCCTAGCCCCAGAGCAGTCAAATTATATTGCACTTTTAAAATATTCTGTGTAGGCTGTGGTAAAAATCTAATATTTACACATTGTGTTTGTTAAAGAACAATGCATTACTGTGTAAAATATTTTAAGAACCAAGTTTAAACACTTATTCTTGTATTAATTAGTATGACCAGAAGCTACATCAAATATTTTTTTTCCTTAGATCCTACTCTAGAAACATTTTTGGTCCTTCCTTCAAAAATTTTGTTATGCTGCAACTCATGTTCATAACTGGTATCAATACTTGCCTGAAATTAGAGTAGCTAGAATATTTAAATAAATAAATACATAATTTTTAAAGAAGCAATAGCTTTGGAGTGCTGTAAACAAGCTGCTCTGGAAGGTCTGTAACAAGACTCAATTTGGCATGTTATGATTTTAATTGGCAATACCTTACAATTATACAACCTCTGCCAGGGTAGAAAACAGTTTGGTAGGCACATCTTATAAATCAATCTGGGCAAAAGCCCAAAAAATACTGATTGTTTCCTAGGTCATATGAATAAATAAAAATGGTTAGAGTAACATGATCCACTGAAACCAAAAATTACATTTATGTCATCCATAGTTGGGGGGAGAGAAAAGTAACTATATTCTTTTTTAAAATACAATCTAAAGGAAATTAACAAACCATAATTTCTATATGATAACCAAGATGTTCAGGACACAAAGGTTGGCAGGATAAAATGAGCATTATAAATTCAGAAATACTGATCTACAGGACTAGTATCTTAGCTGCATCTCTCCAGAAGACAATAATCATTCATTTCTCAATTCCAAATTTGAAGAAACATTCTCAGTCAGTGTTTGGTAAAACAGATTCAGTGCAAAGCACCAACTCTGGTGAAATTTTCCTGACATCTAGGTTGCCCTACATTCCTGTTAAAACAAGAGTAGCAATATGAAAGAAACATAACAGATGCACAGTTATGCCATTTACTTATAAATTTACATACATGCATGTTCTAGAAATTCAAATGATGTCAGGAGGTCTCATAGGCTGCATTGGATGTATTTCTTATAGTATAGTTGTAGTTTACATGTTCAATTACATGACATGCCCCAAGTGCTCTGTGTGCACACCCCTGTGCTTCTCTGGAGCTTTTTATTCTGTACTGAAGTGCTTCCCTTTGGTTTTCATCACTGAAAACTGATGGATTAGGAGAGCAAGGAAAAACTACTCTCAGGCTTCTGTGGAAAACACAGGATGTGCTCTTTACGATTGTTATTAATTGGTGAAATGATTAAATGTTTCTGTTTAAAACCAAGAAGCAAGTTGGTTATCTTGCTGTTAGGAGACACCAAGAGCTGTCACAATATCTAATCTTAATGCCTACTCTGTGTAGTTAGTGGAGACTGCCAAGGGCAACTTGCAAACCCTTCAACTCAGAAGTCTACCCTTTCTGGCTGCCCAGAGAGACATGTTTCTGAATTTGGTAATGAAAATTCCTTTCTTCCCCTTTCCTCCCAAGCAGAGAATTAGAGGAACATCCAGTGCTGAACCAAATTAAACCTCTGTGCCACAACTAATAAACTGCATATAAACAAGTGGAGATCAAGGTTGTTTGAGAGAAAGCAAATAAAAATTCGTATCGATAATTAATATAGCTCATTAAATAACTACACAAAGCGATTTGTCCCAAAGTTAAACAGGTAAGCTGCAACTGTACTGTATCATACACATTAAAGTTATTTGTAACTGGGCTAACAGCCACATCTGCCTTTTTCTTGCTCCTCATTCAGTTGTTCTGTAGAGCTGTGCCCATTGGAGCGCACCACCCCTTCAGGGATCCAGGATTTATCCACACATCGTTCCATGCGCTTCATAATGAGGTCAAGCAGAGTTTCAATGGCTTTGCTTACATTATTCCCATTTGCTGCACTGGTTTCAAAATATGGGATTCTGCAGGAGACAAAAAATAAAACCTTACATCATACAGTTGTCATTCACAGAACAAAAAAAAAAATACAGTATTACTGCCACGTACTTAGAACTCACACTAAGACTGTCACTGCTACTCCATAGCAGAGACACACCAAGTGCTCAGTGGTATGAAATGCAAAAGAAATTAATGAAATGGCTTACTGAAGGTAGGACACAGCAGAAGACCTGCAGAACAAGGCAGCTTGCACTGAGGAGCCAGTGTTCCCACTATTGCCTGTCCTGTGGGCTTTACTTTGGAGCAGTTCTACTCTATCCCTCCAGACAAAGGTGGATTAGTGGTTGGAGCACATCATTTAACTTAGCTTTCATTTGAGAAGAAGTCCAGTTCATGTGCTAGAAAATTGCTCCACTATATGAATTAAAACACAACAAAGGCATCAGACTATTTCTTTCAGAAATGTGTTTCTGATTCTCAGTGCAATGCAAAGGTAATCCAAAGATAAGCCCCATGAAAGAGTTAAGGCAGTATAAAAGTAGAAATTAATATCTGATAGGAACAAAGATTTCACATACTTCCTTCAGAGCCACATGACCCGTGCCTGGCAGGCAGAGGAAGGGCAAGGCTACCCTGTCTTCCTACTGGTCTGACTCAGTTTTCAGACTCTCTGGGAGCCTGTGAGAGTGCAGATACCTCAACATAGGTAAGAGCAAAGAAGGGACCCCATTATTCACCTGCCTCTCTAAATTCTCTCTTTTCCAGAATGTTCGTGAAAATTTACACTGTTTACTGCCAAGCAAAGAAGATTATATCCAGTGTAAAATTACTGCAATACTAAGTACTTATTTTTAAGCAATGAAGAAAATATTAATCTCAGACAGAAAAAAAGATATCATACCAGGCAGTTAAGCATTCCAAAATGCTTATTCGCACAATACCCTTTCAGTATACAGAAAAAAGCATTACAGAAAATCTCATTCTGCTCTAATCACAGCAATAATTGGAAGACAGTTACTTACCCATATTTTTCTGCAAGTTCCTTAGCATCTTCTTCCTTCACCATCCTTTGGTCCTCCAGGTCACTCTTGTTTCCACATAACACAATGTCTGGGTTTTCACAATACGCGTGCATTTGTAGCTGACCTGGCAGCACCAACATGAAGAGTCACTGTCACACACACTCCCTAGGAACACTGCCACACACCAGGCTGGCTCGCAGCACTTCTCCACTGGCACTGAGGAGCCAGAGGACATGTGGACTTCCACTGTCACATACCCAGTGAAAAACCCAGGGAAACAGAAGCCTGGCAGAGTTAGCACAGAAACTTGTGCATTTGCAGCTGAAGGAGTTACACTCACTAAGCATCTATCATGAGCCAAGAAAGGATCTGCTTCCCTCTCCAGATGGATGATGCAGTTTGGGAACTCCTTTGCCTGGATATACCGGCCAAGTAACATTTGCCTTCCATTTGTTTTGCTGACAAAGCTTCAGGTGAGCCAAAATACTTTTGCACAGGCTTCCCACACACTTAAATTACTGAACAGCACCAGAGCCAGGGATAGGATATTGTCTCAGCTTTCTTTTATATAGGCTAAAATCCAAGTTCAGTAGGCAAAGCTGAATTTCAGGTGAACTCTAGAAGCCATCACTAGCAGCTATTACAATTATAATAAAACACATTATTTTACTGAGAAAGCCATAAAAACTAGTATTTTAAGTTCTAATTCTCAGTAAGACTTCATATTTACAAACATAACCCCCACACCCCATTCCACCCATGCAAAGAAAGAAATTTAAAAAAAAAAAAGCCATACTTATCCAGTTCCTGACATTCAGAAAGCTTTGCTCATTTGTCAGATCAAAGAGCAGAAGAAATCCCATGGCATCTCTGAAGAAAGCAGTAGTCAAGCTACGAAACCTAGACCAGCAAAGCAAAATTAATTTGCTCATCTGAAAGTTACTTTGAAAACACAATTGCTTACAATCATAGAAGAACTGAGGTAACTTAAGACTGAATGAACCAGAAGGAAATATTCATAATTGTTTTGCTGAGGCAGGGACTGTGTAAGAAAAATTGCTAACATTACTGTGGCCTAATCAAGGCCTAAGGCATCAAGGAGACTTGAGTGTGAGAGCTTTAAACAGTCTTCTACTATAAAGCATGCCTTGATCAAGATTCAAAAATTAAAACAATAATGAAATTCTAACTTTGAACAAAAATTTATCCCCTATACACATCAGTCCTTGAATTTAAGATTAACAACCACAAGAATGCTAGTCTTTTGATAGGCCAATGGAAAAGAATCCTTTGAGATGCTTTTGCCCGACTTTCCCAAGACATCAACATATTTACAGAAACTTAAAAGAACTTAAAACTTTAAAAGTGTCTATATATGCTGGCTATGAAAACAAAGACTAAAAAACAAGAATTACAGTTTTGTGTTCTACAGTTGTAAATTACAGTTAGAATTTCATGGGTACTCATAGGAAGCTTTCCATTGCCTTTACAGTAAGTTCCCGTTGCAATCTTGGGCCATACCTTTCCTGCCCTGCAGTGTCCCAGAGCTGAAGATGGATCCTCTGTCCTCTGCCACCAACACCATCTGGCCCATTGGGTCTATACACCTGGAAAAGGTAAATTTGCAAGACTGTTACCAGTCCAGCTGCTACAGAACACAAAAGAACTGACATTTAAAGTCATCAAATGCAGCAAAATTAGCACAGCTGATGCACAGATCCCAACTACAACTCAATCCTCTGCTTTGTAAGGCAAAAGTAGTATGAGATGCCTTTTAATATTGCATCCAATTAAATATTTTAAAATAAGGGTAAAAGGGAAACTGCAAAACCAGGGCCCAATAGACTAGGGACTCCAGACAGATATTTAGAGCCATGAGACAAGATTAATTTTTGTATTTTGATTTTCTGGGTTTTTTACTACCTTACATCATGTTCAAAATAAAACATAAGAAAGCAACAGTGCAATCTGGCAATGTATTTGTAGCAATAGCAGAACCTCATTAGCAAACAGGATATACACAAGAGATAATGACATCTGTACTTAGCTGCCAAAATGCTGCTGAAAAATTGCTGAGGGTAGATCTTATCAGATCACAGCTTATAAAGCAGAAATTGGATGATAAAAATAAAAGCTGAAGCATTTTCTCAGCATGAAAAAAATAAGGGCATCTATTAGTCTTGGAAGGATCAGATAAAAATAGATCAATTTCTTCTTTAGAATGCTTTGAGTTAAGTCATCTTCATTACCTTCAAATGTCATTGTATCTAAGCTTACAAGAGCTACAAGCAGATCTTTAGAATTCCACAAATTCAGCAAGTTCATGTATTATAAGATTCAGGCTCTGAAGCCTAAACCTTATCCTGAGTTATCAAATATGCTGATCAAGTAAACCACCATGTTTACAATCCCACAAAGGGGACAATGACTTATTCAAGAGACCAGTTTGGCATTTAACTAAGATATCTAGTCCTTGAACTACCGTGGTGCATGGTGTGCACCAAAAGCCAGTCTGCACAATGCCCATTACACTATCCAGATTTCTGGACACAGGAAGTCACCAGGCTACAATGAAAGACATTTAATACCTGTATGTAACAACAAAAACTTGTGCCAACTCCATTTCTCAGAGCAGTAAGGAGCAGCATCCAATTGGTTGTGGTATTCTAGTGCTCAGCTTCATATCAGAAGTACATTTGCTTGGTTTAATAACAATTCAGGGGTTGAAAAAAGCAACCTTATATTTCATATTTCGTCTCTGCTAATGACTGCTTAGGAAGCCAGATCAGTTGCATGTACCATTTCATGCACATGTTTAAAAACTGCACCTTTGTTCAGCAGCCATTTCAGTTCATACCCAGCAATAACATTTTAACTACAGTTCAGTCCTTCCTTGTGAAAAGAGTTCAACAGTAAAAGTGCTATTTCAGGTACTGTGTGCACAAGTCACAGGGTAGACACACTCATCAACATCTGCTGAGCAGAAAGGAGTGGTTTCTTAGAATCAGCTCTTTAACTTCTGGGGAAATGAGTCCGTACACAGCAATGACAAACCAGGTCAGATGAGGCCTTTCCTGTCACAAAATGAAGCACACAATAACACTGATTGCAGGCCTACACGCAGACAGACACCATTTTCAAGTAGCACGTTACAAACTCACCACTCGCTTTTCCCGAAAGTCAATGCCCACCGTTGTGATGAATTTGGAATTAAATTTGCCATCTGTGTATTGATAAAGAAGGCTGGTCTTTCCTACTCCAGAATCACCGAGCGCAAGGAATTTTATGAGGTAATCATAGTCCCCATCAGACATAGTGAGAATTCAGGCGGCACCTTAAAAAGCAAAGCAAAAAGGAACAGTTAGTCCAGAGCTCTGCCAGGACTTCTGACAAATGTTTAAAATACAAATCACTCCCTGAACTACAAAAGAGCAAGTGGTGGGGCCAGTTCTGTGCTCCTTTACACTGACTTCACTTTAAACTCTCAGTTACACAAATTACCAATATCAAATGCAGCTGTGACTGAAAAAGCACATCTTTAGTTTTATTACATTCCTTTTATTGGAAAGGGAAGACAACACAATTCTAACTTCTTCAGGCAAGGCTGAAAATCAAGGTCAAACTATTCAAGGTATCTGGAACAGAAACTTCAGAACTGTTTTTAATCCTCCTGGAAGGTGGCAAAAGCTACTTAATTGTACTAGCAATGCAATTCTGGTCTCATCCTCACTATGGCATTAGTAATATATGAAAAAAAAAAATTACTGGACTGTCCAACTATATATAAACAAAATTTAAAGTAATTTTCTATTAATAGCTATTTCTTAATCTTGAATAAGACTTTCTTTTTGTTGAGGTTTTTGTTTTGAGGAAGAATCTTCAGTTTTTAGAGTTTGTGTTGTGAAGCTAGCTAGCCATTCAAACAAAATCTTGATCTTGAATCGACATTAAACAAACACACACATTTTGTCCATGGCTCATTACACATTTAAGAAATTTCTCTCTTTTTTTTTCTGCCTTTTTAAAAATAACCATATTCTCTATAGTCTAATCTAAGTGCAGGAACAACTAAAATGTGTAACAAAAATCACTGGCAAATTCCATGTGTACTAGAAAAGCTGATGTAAGTACACTGGCACTTTCCTGTTGAGTAGCTACTGAGCCTCCCTCCCCCAAAACAAACAGTAGAGAGCTGCCTTGTGCTGTGTTCAAAGACATGAACATGAAAAGATAAGCCTAAAATAACCACTTTAAAAGCAACAGAAGCCTGGCGTAAAATTGCCTTTTATGAAGGACAGAAAAAATTCCAAAAATACCAAAAAAAATAGAAGATTATGAAACAAAATTTTGAAAGAGTAATATCTGCTGTTTTAACTGTACGTATTTTTGGAGATACTTGTAGCTTGAACTAGATAAAGATATTAATTTCAAGTCAAACACTGCAGTAGTTTGCATCAATGGAAAAACACCAATTAATTTCTTGAATATCAACTCACAGCTTGACGTCTGGGACAAACTGTGTCTCCAGCATGTGGGCGTCAATCACCACCATTCAGCTAAAACCGTAACCATCTTAAAAGCTTCACACCTTTATAATTGTCCCTTTCTTGGTTGCAAGTCAGAACTGTGTCTGGTTGATGTGGCCATAAGCAGCTTACTAAAAAGCAGACAGTGGTCAGATTTACCTCAGATATTCTCCACCTGAAGAGTTAGTGGAAAGCAGCTGACACTTTTTTTCCCTTTTTGGGAAGCACTAAAGTCTCCCTTTCCCAGCCAATGTATGTTTCACATTATGCTATCAATGCCAGTAACAGCTTGCAGGAAGGGGGTTTAGGTGACAGAGTTCACACTCACTACTACGCCATAGCCAGCTAATTCATATCCTACCTTTGTGTTTTAAGCAAAGTTTTGCAATAGAACAGAAGGCTGAAAGGGAGAGCCCTGCAGCAAAAGTGAGCTTTTTACATAAATGCACCACAACTGCAGGACTGCATCTGAAGGAGCAGCATATTCAAGTAAGCAAGTTGACCAGGTAGCCCAAATACTGACACGAGAACATTTTCAGAAGAAATTAAGAACCCTGATCCATTAGACACACTCACATGTATCAGCAAAAATAATTTGGGGGGGTTTGTTTAATTTATTAAGTCCTCTCCCCTGTTGGTGAAGAAAAAAAAGTAAAACCAGATCACCTACCCTAGGTAGGTCTATCAAAGTCTTTTCATTGAAATGTACCAGAAGAAAAGGAAAAGGATTTCAAAAAACAAAGATGGATTTTTCTAAAGACTGCATTTGATTTAGACTTCCACCTCACACATTTCCTTTGCCCTCACGTTCTCAAAGGGCTACGAGCTGCTCATCCTCTACTCAAGCACATGTTCTTTCAGTCACAAGGTCCCTAAATTAATTGTTGCTTTAAAAAACCTAGATGCAAATCTTAGGGCCAGTATATTACACAAAGACAAGCTTGCTTCGTGCTTTTTACTGTGCTGTGCCACCTGCACAGAGGTATTTGCCTTGTCCTGTTGGTTTTCTGTTGGGTGGCTATAGGTGTACAGAATATGCTTTTAATAACAAGTACCAATGACAGTGCAGCTGATAACTGCTGATTTACCATGCACCCTGTGCAATACCACACAGAGGAAGAAAGGGCACTGCAGCTGTGTCACAGAGCTGTAGGGAATTGTTACAGTTCAGCTGCACCTTCCACTGGACAGGGCTGTGTGAAAGCTCTGGCCAAAACAGAAAGGTCAAGATTAGGCTTTGGTGAAGTAAATACCCCCAAAAAGGTATTCCTAGTATCATACCTGATTTGTAAAGTGTCTGTCAGGACACACATGCCTCATCATTTGGCCCACTCAGTTCTCCCTGTGGTCAGTGCAAAATACAATTTCCAAAGGACTAACAGAGGGTGAGGAACCCTTCACAGGAAGGGTTCTAAAAATGCCTTCTAAAAGCTTTGCTTGAGAAGGAAATTTTCTCCTCTGGTTTTGAAATGCACACACCTCTCACTGCACCCCATAATGTCAATCTATTATTCAAATATCTCCAGGGAGTGGTTCTTGTGAAACCCTGCACAGTTAACCTATCCTCGGAGACATGTAAAGAGCTATTTTCATAGTAGTTTCAAGCCTTGTCCTCCTCCCTGTACAAATATTTAAAAAGTGATCTCCACCCTCCACTTCCGAGACCTGCAGTCCTAGTGTCCAGACACATTCAGTTTCACATAACAGAAATAAGAATATATTCACTGTAAAGTATATTCACAGCAAAAACTGCTGTGAAACTTTTAAAAATCATGGCCCTGTTACTAAAACCCATCCCATTTTTTCCTTCCAATTTTGCTTTTTTTTTTTTTAAATTAGGCTTTATGGCTTCACACTTTCCAGTCTTTCCTTCCACTTTTCCATACTTCATATATCAGGAGAGTAGGAGGTAGAAAAGGAAGATTCTGAAAACACTAATGATACAATTAGAATTCACCAGGTCACCAAAACAAAATCATTCCCAAATCTTGCTTCTAAGAGTAAGAACTCCTTGGTTAAAAAAAAAAAATCACAAATGGACACAGTTTTAAGCTCCACATCAAGCCCTCCACAGTTTTGCCTGTTGTAAATCCCTCCTGAAATCCCATTCAGCTCTGGCTTTGCACTTTGCCTGGTATGCAGAGGGATAAGAGCTATGAACAAGTGCTGGAAAGGCTCCACTGGCCTTTTTCGTGGCTGACAGGACCCCCACAGCCAGCATTTGCGCTGTGCCTGTACAGCTGCTGCTCTGCAGCCTCCACACACACACACACATCAGGCCTTATCAAGAAGGGATTCTCTCCAAATCAAGTGCTCCTCTTGTTCCCTGCATTTCCTAGTCTGAGGTACTTTCACATTAGACATCAGTGTTAATGGGTTCATCTTTTTGCCTCTGGGACACAGATATCACAGCATTATTGTGTGATAAAACATTCCAGACTATGGCAGATTTGCTCCTGTATAAATTAAGGAAATTGGCATGGCATGCAGGATTTCCCCTGCATTTTTGGCGTGCAGTATGGGAATAGGGGATATGCTTCCTGAACTGGCCTTACACAAAACATGCAACTCTTGTGCTGCTTCTGAGCTGATGGAAAGAAGGAAAAAGGAAGAATGCAAAAGAGATGAAGAACTCCTTGGTTAAGCCAAAAAAAAAAAAAAAAAAAACCAAAAAAAACCACCAAAAACAAACAACAAAAACAAAAGCATTGATCTGCAAATAAAAACATGTACACATACACACAGTAAAATTCAGGAAATCTGAACATGCCCCTAATCAGACAATCCTGAAGCACATCAGTTTAAAGTAAGGCATACCACTTACCCCAAACTCTGCAAAAGGAATAGTTAGGGCACACTGGAGATAGAACTTCCAGTAGGAGTACTTTGCCAGCACCACCTCTTCAGCACACAGCCAAGAGGCTTACGTGTCAGCTGTTTGCATCCACGTTGATGCGTGCTCAGAGATAAAGAGGTGTGCCCATGTCTGTGTCTAGGAGGGTGCTGCCTCACTGCATGGCTGGCAAGCAATTACACAGCTCACATGTCCCTTTTATTCCTAGAGGCAAACAGCATTTCAAAAGAGATTTGTGCAAGACCTACCTTGGAACAGATCTAAAGTTGCTGCAAAATCACCCACACACCTTTAAACAATTACATTGTTCCCAGCAGGGGTTTTCATTCAAAAATGCATTAATGATGGAGTATATGGATCACACCTGTTCAGTTATAGCTTTACATTCTTTACCTCTGGTTTGAGAATAGAGCAGTCTTTAATGTAAACTGCTTCCTTTCTGTTGAGGCTCCATGCTTGTGATTAGAGTTGACATGGACATTGGGGAAAAATTAAACCAAAATCCACCCCAGACAGAAAAAGAAGACACTACAGGTCTCTCAGTGGGCAGTAATGCATTTGTACAGATTTGCTTATTCTGCAAGTGCACATCAATTCATACAAAAAAATTTTTCACCAAGGCACTACACAAAATTAAACTTTGAGAGTGTTTTATGTGTCACTCCATCTGTTCCAACAGAAAAACTGAGAAGTGATGCAGAGTGCGGAGGAGTACATTCAGTAATCCTGTCACAGCAGCACTGCCACCACACTGCAGCGAGGCAATACTCACATTCCTGTTTGCGTGGGCAAGCACACTGCACGGCCTCACCCTGCTCTAAGGCTCCAGCAGCACCTGAGAGCTTGAAGAACTGGTCAATCACCAGCCAGCTCTGTCCAAACAAGGGACAGAGACTTAGATAATGCTCCTGCTTAGTCAGCACTTTGTTAGACGTGCTTTGTTAAAACCTGCCAGATCTGTACAAATGTAATGTAGCACATCATGACAACAATTGTTCATAAACTCAAGTACCTGCTGTGCTGGGGGAAGAGAACTGATGAATATGCACTTCACCAAAATGTTCTGAGCTGCACTATTGTTTTTTCTTAGGAAAATGTATCACCTGGCTTGCTTTAGCTTTGGTCAAAATGACACTTTCTATGACTTCTGGGGCTTTTCTGTAACAAACATGAAAAAAAAAAATACTCCTTGGTTACTTTCAATTGCTTTACCTCACATTTTACTGTCACAATGTTTTTAGTTTCAACTGTAGAGGAATTCCAAAGACTTGCAGGATCACTGTCTAAGGAGAGACTCTTTCTTGGAAAGATCTAATTAATTTTAAGGGTGCTCAAGATGCATAAGAACATTTTAGCCTCCAAACACTGATGTCACTTTTACTTGGCTGAAGGTGCTCTACAACCATTTTTCAGCATCGCTGCAACTGCAGCATTTTGAGAGCACAACTGATGAGCACACGAAGCACTGTGAGAATGAGTTACTACAGGAGATACAGGAAATGATAATCCCACCCAGAAAGGGGGCATAAAAGGGAAGCAGCAGGTCTGATGTGGTGAGAACCTTGCACAACAGGCCAGGCAAGGTAACAGCAGATTCTGGACTATGTTTCCAGAAAACCAGGAGACACTAGGAATGGAGAAGCCAGGAAATGAAACAACAGTTAGTTTTGCAATTGCATTTGCATTTCAGCACCACCAAACCAACAATCAGGCAGCTGGATTTCAAAGGTTATCTCAATTACACAAATGAATGAAAAGCAGCATGGAACTGGAAAAAAATGAAGAATAAAAGCAGGAATGTTGCAGTTGGTTATTCAACACTCCCCATACAGGAGGACCTTTGTGCAGCTTCAACTTCTGTGCAAAAAGCACAGCACCATCTCTGTTCCCTCATCAATTCCTAACATTTTCATGCTTCATGGTAAGGAAATACTGTAGAAAAAGAAAGATTTGCAATGCTGTGTGATGAAAACAGTTGCTCTTGTTCCCAGGATGGGGACAGATCTTTTGCCTCACAAATTACCTCTTTGCACTCTCATCAGAAGCGGCTTTTAAGTTAGAGCACTGAAGCAAACATCTGTATAAAGCTAATAAACTCCAGAGTAAATGGGGAAAGTAAAGCAAGCATTTGTAATTTCTTTTAAGCAATTCTACACTACTTAGTCCATGCTCAACCACTCCCCTCCTCCTCCAATAAATACATTAAGCCGCGCTGGCTTCCAAGTGCTTCCGTGCTATTTCACTAGCTTATAAACAGGAAATTCAGAGCAATGTTCAGCATCCTCTCTAACGTGACAATCCTGACCACTTTGGGACCCACCTCCTTCCTCACAGCCCAACCTTACCATCTGGAATATGTCACTGCACTGTACCTACTCTTCACAGGATCAAGGAATTATCAATGACAGTCTTACACAGACACACATTTTCCAACTGTTTCTGACAAAATGGGAGCCACAAGGGCTTCACCCACGAAGTTGGTCATGTTCACAGATGGGAAATATCCATGAGTCTGACCACCCACTGATTCAGCAGCACTTTCAAATTCAGAAGAGCAAGAAAAAAAGAGCACACTTCTAATTCTGCCCACAGAAATAGCCACCAAAGGGTAAAGGAGAAGAGAATAAGAATCGCACAGGATAGTAAGAATTGCATATTTCTTTAAGAAATTGTTTGGTTTTCCAGGAGATAAAAATCTCCAGCAGATAAGCAAACACATGAAAATGCAGAATAAGAGGAATAATAACTTTTTTAAAAAGTTAAAAATCTAAAAGCTGAAAAAGGAAGCAGTTTCCTATGTGCAGATAGAATATTAATAAAATGACATCTCAAAGAAAACATGTGCAGATACTCACAGTAAAGAAAGTGTAAATTATGCTCTGCCTATATGGGTGATTCAGTAGACTGCAATACATGTCAGTCAGGCCATGTTCTTTGTTTAATTCCTTTAAAGCACACACTGTGAATGGCCAGAGGAATATTTGCAGCTTCTTAAAAACAAACAAACAAAAAAAAGATATAGATATATTTGTCTTTTGGAACAGGAAAGTTCTCAGCTACCTTCTACCTTGTTTCATAGATAACCTGGAATACAGAAAATAATTCTCCAAGAGGTTACACTGCCAAACTTATGAAGGATAATCTGGCAAAATAAATTACCCTGATTAGGACAATTAGAAGTCAATGGAGAAGCTCAGCTACCAGACACCTGAAGGTACTTCCTAATCACTGTTAGATAAAAGTGAAGACCACACAAATATTATACAAATGGGACTACAAAACTATACCATTCATCAAACATGATGTGGGAAAGCACACAAAGGGGTGAGGCAGGAAAGAACTGCAGTGCAGGCTAGCAGCAAGACACTTCAGAGTTTGACAGGTTGGTGGCAGCTGTGAATAATCTGCTCCTAAGAGGTCTCAAAAAGAAACCGAGCCTTTCATTTCAGAGTCTGTAATAGCTGCAGTCTGAGAGAGAGACTTTTCAGCCAGTAGTGAGCAGGACTTGTTCAGTAAACATGTTTGGAGATAGTGCTTCCATGTGGTGCTTCCATGTTTCATAAATGCTATGAAAAGGTTAGAAATAACTTGCTGAGAATACTCTGGCCATAACTTAACATGCCTATTACATAATAAAACACCACTTCTGCCTGAAATAGGCTGTATTCCATAGGCCACAACGTGTCCTCTTCACAAAGTCACTAATGTGCAACAGCAAAGCAGAAATCGTGTGACAGCAAGACACATCCACTTTGGAGCATGCTTGTGGCTCAAAAGTATCACTCAAAGTAAAGTTACAACTACAGTGTTTGAGTGGGCTTTTCTTTCAAGAATTGAAAGCCAAGCCCCTACTTCCACCCTATCCTCCCTCAAACAGCTCTGGAACTGCAGCACAAATTACCACTGCCCAAGCCTTCTACTGAGGCCCTGCTGTCTGCCAAACTACTCAGACAGTGCAAAATGCTGGCTTCAATTCCTGTCCTAGCACAGCTTTCTAGAGCCTCAGGGAAGGCATAATTCAAAAGAAGCACTGATTAAGCAGCCTGATCTGCTCAACACAAAGCTTCCATTCAGAAAGCCTGCTGTTTTTCAACCTGAGTTGCCAACAATATTTATCTCACTGCTCAGATCAGAATCCCATAATACAGCATGAATTATAGTTAAATCCTGATACACAGCAAAGACTCCTGAGATAAACAGCACAGCAAACCAGAATTTCTTACACTAATTGGTGTTATATAGGAATATGTGAGCAAGGAAAGCAAAAAGCAGCACAAGTCTGATGCCACAGTTTGCCCACACCTTTCCTTTTGGTTATTTCCAGATGGAAGGAGGGGCCCAAGATAGCTGTAGAGTAAAACCCCACCTGAAACCTGGCAGCTGTTGCCAGCTTTTCATGTTGTAGGTGCCTTCCTAAAGAATTCTTTCATAACATTTCATGCACACAAAGCATCCTCAAGTTTCATTTGAACTAACCTACAGTAACAGGCAATTCCCCACCTCTACCTGTCAAAGTCTTCAATTAAAATTCAGAATGATTCTGTTTATAACTAATAAATGGCTTAGGCAGCAGTGAGCTTACAGAACAAGCACCTCTATAACCCAGGTCCCAGAAAAAAATATACAAAGCTTTTCTATGAAAATAAAATGCTCTAACTGATCCAAGCAGTGCAAGCTACCTGTCAAAAACTGTGTCAGGGAAAGGTGTATGCAGTTATCACATCACACCACAGTGCATACAGACTGTGCTGGCTTGGTGAGACACCAAACAGAAATGTTGTATGCTTGTGAGGAACTCAAAAATCTCACACAAACTGCCAAACCAACTTCATAGAACAATTCTACACCATAAGAAAGGCATCAAACCTCTGAAACTAAGAATGGAATAAAAAGAGTAAGTAATAGGAAAGAATCTATTCAGCTATGCCCTTCTGAGCACAAGTCACAAGAAAATGGGACTATGTCATGGTACTGTCCCACAAGAATTTCTATATGAAAAGTCTCATTAAAATAAGTGCTGGTGTTTCATCTTTTGCTAAAAGACTGGCTTTGGCTTGCAGCATTTGTTTTGATTTTAAATCACTGCATGTGATTTACTATAGAAGAAATTAAGAATCTAGTAATGAGATTCCAATAAAAATAAATTAAGTATGTGAAAAACTAAAATCTCAGTTAGCACTAATCAGTTCAGCTACCATGCCTATAGTGGAGCTGTGCTAACTGACCCGCTCACTCCCAGAGAATTGTCTCACCAAGATCCCAGTTCTTCTGTTTGTACCAACAGTATAAACATCACAATGTATCAAAACAGATTTTTTTAAAAGAAATTTTATCCCTATGACACAGTGTTTAAACAAATTCAGAAGCAGGAACTACACTGTTTCTTAGTTATGAAGTAAAACATTTTAGACCAAATAAAAGTTACTCCTTCTTCTCCTTCCCATTGTCTAGAGCTCATTTCTCTCCTTCTACTAGGATACTTCCAGATCTTTTTCCAACAACTTACTTCCATCTTTTTCCAACTCGTTTTAAGATTTTTTAGGTCATTCTAAGTTTGCTATAGTTTCAAAATTTTTGTTGGTCTTTTGCCTACTTTTTTTCTTAAAAAAAATAAATTTCTCTTTACTGCCATTGTTAGTGACATGCTTAAAGAAGCCCAGCTGAACTAGATTCCCAGTTTGTCTTTACCAGGCTTAATTACTAAGGCTGTTTTGTTTAAGATAGTGTTATAAACAAAGACATGTTGGAAACATGCAGATATACTGAAATCCAGCAAGACTGTGGTGAGGGAAAGGGTGGCAGCACCAAATGCTAGCATATTGTTTTGCAGTGTACAAAAGAATTCCAACATTATCAAAATTGAAATCTCAAATAACTTAGGCTATTAGAAATCACTACACTAAAATGTGCTAGAAATAGTTTCTGTAACACATTCAAAATGCACATGTAATGCAATAAATTAAAGTATTATATAACAGTAAATTACAGGGAAGCAGCTGCAGCAACCAATCCATCCACACAGCACAGGAAAAACAAAAACAGTCAGCCAAGCATCAATGTTTACAAAATCCTTTTTCCCTTTCTCCCAAAAGTTTATATTTTATATAAACTTTTCATACACTGGGGATGTCTATAAGGAAACAGTAAGAAAATATATTTATTAAACTGCATTTATTAATTTCTCACTTCTCTGTCATAAACATAAGTCAGCTGGTGATGATCTGGAGAAAAGTCATCTAAGACATTCTATGCTAGACATCAAATAAAACCCTGGGAAAGCCTTGTGACCTCCACAGAAGTGGAGAATAATACTGTTTTCTGTTCTCTGAACAACTCCTCCTTGCTTATTTGCAGTCTCAAAAACTGGAGTATTGGTTCATGAATAGAAAAATGCTGGTAAACACATGGCTAGAAAGGATGCTTGATTACAAAATCATGCTTATGGTGACATGGCATGACTTAGTCAGATGGGTACATATATTCTGAGTTTCTTCCAAAGGAGATACAAATTGCAGTAATAACAGCCCATCTTCCTATTGCTTTTATGATAATTAAGATTCAAGTCATTACTATATGATTGAACAATAAATGTGAACGAGATGAGCTCTCATGGTTCCTTGCTATTCAATTTTTTGTTGCAGTTAAAAATAACAGCCTGTGCAACACACCATGTTCATGCCTTTTATCACCCCTTTAGCAAACATGATAACAAACATTGGTGCACAATGCAGTTAAAACCCCTGCCATTCTAAAGGACTCTTTTATTCAGTATAATTTATCTTGAAATGCTAATAGGAACACAGGAAGAAACAGAGGGGAAAAAGTTCAAGCACTGCAACATTTAAAAATACTGAGTTATTTTGTTCAGTATTTTAAATGTTATTTGCACAGGGGTCGAATTGTATTTTACCTGCAGAACAAGTTTTGACAAGTTTGCCACAGAAGACAACATAGGCTGATGACTTGAGATCAGAACAGGCATTTTACGGCTCCTGGATCCAGACATTGTGCACTGCAGTCATTTTATTTATTTTGTTAATAAACTTACCCTGGTTTGTATTTAAGTCTGACTGATTTATTTATGAAAAGCAATGACTAAATACATACAAAAGAGCTGCAGTTTTGTCATTTAACCCCAAAGCCTGTGTTACATAAACCAAGTGTACTCCCCAGCTTTACTTTTCCCTATAACAGGAGGATGCAGCAGCAAGGCTGAACTCTCAAAATCAGAGTATTCCAGGAGGCTTGTTAAAGTGCAGCAACAGTGTTTCAAAACTCTGAACAGAAGAACAGCTGTCACAGTCAGCCCAAGGAAAACAATGTAATAAATCTTCTGAAAATAAACAGAAAAGGGAAAGTGTTTACATACCTATGTTTAACAGCTGTGAATGGATCTGTAGTTTTCCAAATGTGCTTCAGTGACAAGTTTCCTGACACAGGTCAGATCTCTTGAATACCATAGTCATGCAAAAAGAGCCATTTCTCATCTACAGGAAGCATCAGCAGAGAAAGAAATAAAACCAAAATAGTGTAGTTCAGACTAAGAGCTCTAACATTCACAGGGCATGGGAAACTGCCAGCCCCACATAACCACCCTCCCCACCTAATTACATTCAGCTGCTTGTCATGTGGTCTTGCTGACCGATCAAGTGATCTCTTTTCCCCCTTTTAAAAGTGAGCAAAATAGCTAACTAGAACTCCCTAAACCAGGTAATAAACCTAAACCCTTTGCATAAACTACTCACCCTCCTCCTTGTCTTAGGGAGACGAAGTTGCAATGTGTGAGCACAACTTTTTCTAAGTGTACAAAAAAAAATAAAATACAGCAAACACAGTAGTCTACTATCTTGAAATATGGCAAGCACCAAAGTTCCCCAAACAAAGGTGGGTTTTATTTCCCACCTTTACAGACAGCAGAAAAACTTACTGATTGCAAAACTAGCAAAGACACCAGAGAGAGACCATGTGAGCAGGATTTGGGAGGACAGTGGCAGCTGTACCATAGGGCTTTGTAGGCATCTGTGCCCAGTCCTTTCTGCTGAACCACTTCTGATGGCAACAAGCTCCAAGAAGAGATCAGAGTGAGGATGCTGCCAAAAATTTCCTGAAACACAGACGCCAAACCTACAAACTTCTGTCCCTGCACAGTCCTAAGAGACACATGCAGACATTTTAAACATTTAAATAACTTCAAGGAAACAAAGCTACTGCTTTAACATGTAAACCAGCTCTTCAATGAGTCAGTTCACAAGGGCCTGTTAACACAGGCCCCCAGGAGGCAGAACCCACAGGTCTGCCCCAATTTCAACACCAGTGTCTGCACCGAGGCACTCACTGGATGGAGGGCCCTGCACTGGGCCCAGGGATGAGACAGGACCTTCACAGCCCCTGCAGCCCTACGAGGCCTCGTCCCCTCTCAGACACCCTGACATTAGAGATGCTCACAGGAGAGCACTGAAAGCTGTGGACAAAGCAACTTTTGCACTCACCGTGTAAGATTTAGCTGATATGAGCTTTTGCAGACAAGTGTCCTTGCACAGTCCTTTCTTGTCTCAGTTTCTTTCCTCAAGCTGCTTCAAGAGCAGCAAAGAAAGGAAATTAAGGTGGTGTCTCAGGCTAGTCTCCAGTCTTCTAATTTAAGAAGTGCTGCAGACAGGCTGTTACAAATATTTAACATATGGATTCATCTACCAGTAACAAAGACAATTCCACAAGCTTCATAACTCTCACTTGTTTCAGTGCTCAACTATCTTGCCTCTTTTCATGTGAATCAAGGCAATTTTTATTTTCCTTGCCCTGGTGAACATCTAAGTTCTATTATACAGAGCTGGAACACTTTTTCATGCCCTGCCTTAGTATTTTTCCAGCACTAACTAAAATCCATTTCTTTGACATTTAGTTATAGGTGGTAATGTTTAAAACTCTACCAATTCTTGGCTCAATTCAATCTTCTGCAATTTCACCAGTTTCAGAGGAATATAAAAGCCCATTTTTTGCTCCCACATGCGATTAAAAAACAGAATTGTGTTCAATTTTCAGCAACATGCATATTTTTAGTCTTTAACTGCTTGTTTCCCCGATCAATACCAGCACATTTGCTTAACTGTGAAGAAATATTCAGACCACAAGCACACTAGAATGTCTGGTAACTGCTCCAGAGTGCAGAAGGAGGAACAGGATAAGAAGTGTTGACAGACAAAGTAGCAATTCTGCCATGTTGCAAACAGCCCTGTGACTACAAACACTAAGCACAAACTGTCTGGAAGCCTCAACCTCAATCTCTCTCAATGTAAATAGAGTTCAAACTCTTCCATACAGTCAGATGTTTGCCATCTTCAATGGGAAAACAGTTAATAAATAATCCCCAGACTTCAGAGTTTTATTTCAGGATGAAATGAGGCTGCTCAACTTGTCTCTCACCAACTTGGTGTGAGGAACACCAGCTAATTCTTCCTTTCTCCCTACCAGGCAAGGGTTTGCCAGAAAGGTACAGCTGAAATAAAGCTTTCTTTTTGAGGGTGAATTTATGTTGATTTCAAAGTGGAGAGTTATAAACTGGGAGGACATCAATGTTTGGTTATTTATATTCTCTATTTTTAAGCAAACATGTTTGCAGCCTCTCAGCAAGGGCTGCAGAGGCAGCTGAGGCAGCCCTGCTGTGGTGGCAGGAAGCAAACACAAACCAAGCAGCAACAGCTGGAACAGGAACCACTGCAAGCAGCCCAAGGTGAGCCCTCCTCCCACTGCTACCCCAATCCTAGGGGGTTGTAAGAGCTTGGACAATTTCTTGATTTATGTTGGGGATCAAAATTACTGAAACTGTGAAATGTAGGTTTGAAGCTCCAGCTCTACAAAGGAATATGCATCCACTCTGTTATTCAATATTCACAATGTTTTTACAAGTTGTATGAACAAGAGGATCTGAATGCATGGAATTTATGGTTTTCTTATAAAACTTTTCTATGCTTTACAGGCCTAGGAATTTAGGAGGAAATTTGAGGAGTTAAACACAGTGAACAGTGTGGAGTATTCTTCAGGGTAAGCATCAGAATATTTGCCTTCACACACTCCATACCCTTGAGAAAAGTTGCAGGTGTCCAAACTGTCCTGTAGTAGATGTTTCTTCTATAAGAAAAATGCTGGATTGTTACCTGCCTGAAGAAATAAAGACATCTGCCACTGGAGACAGGAATAGGAGAACTGGCTCTAGTAACAGTTCCATTTCAGATAATGCTACAGAACACATCCCTGTTTCCAAAGCCAAGAATTGTGCCTAACATCAGTGTCATCTGCCCCTGCTATACAGTAACAAGCCAGTAACTCAGGACAGAACTAAAAGGACCTGAAAGGAGGAGATAAATTCCATATAAAGGACTTTTTTCTTTTGCTTTCCTCTCACCAATATCCCTCCAGAAAACAAAAGAAAAAAAAAAAAAAAAGAGGAAACCCACACTTGCAAAATCAGCTTTCACACCAGAACTGTTATAGCTGAACTTTGCCAGGACCAAATAATGAAATATCCCTTCAGTGATTAAAATAAAAGTAGGTCAGGCAGGTCTTCCTGCTACCCAAAGGCACAACTGCTAAATATTTAGTAATATTACAGAGTAAAGTAAAACTTTCATTAAATTCTTTCAACTGTAAACCAATCTAGGCAATTTCTGGTAATGGTGACAGAGATTTCTTTTAGCATTGCATGTGATAAAGTATTGGCATGTTTAAGATCTGTAACATTTTAACATAGAAAGGAGGTTATTAAAAATATTCCCCTCCAAGAGAGTCTCCAGATAACTAACTTCCAAGAATTACCAGAGTCTCTTTAACAATAAAAAACTAACAGTAAAATAATCAAAAAATTAAAAGCATCAATTTTGCTTTCATAGAACATCATACTGCCTAAAGACAGGAATCCTTTGCAGCAGCACTCAACATCAGCACTTCAAAAAACTTTAGACCAAACTCTGTCATCAGAAAAAAAAACCATCAAAAGACTGCTTCCCAAATAAGATTTATATATGGTTATACTTAACCTCAGAAAAGATTAGTAAGATTATCCCAAACAAGCAATTCTAATTGATCTGTCAGTTCTGTCAAAACTGCAGGCTTCTGCCTCCACAACACTTTCTATTATGCAGTCTGTCCCAAGGCAAAGCCAAGTGGAGATGCCTATTCCAGATCTGACTCAAAAGGGGAAGGAAAGAACCCTTTAATATTTGAACCAGGTTCTCTCTCTCTTATTACAGTTCTGAAATCTCAGAAAGAAAACAGTATTAAAAATACTGTTGTACATGTCCTTGTATAAGATGGTACAACACCAAGAAATGGTCAAAACAGGCTTATTTAAAATAACAATAAAATGTGTATGAAGAAACATGAGTATTTGTTTTGAGTGAAATGAGCAAATGTGATCATTTTTTATGCAGAAAATAGTATGTTGGCAACATTCACACTACTCAAATTCCATAATCTGTACTCAAAAGAACATTTAACCTAAAGATGGATGAATTATTTGACGTGCTACAGTTCTTCTGTGGGACTGTGCTGGTTCACGTTTTGTAAGACCTGCGATGTGCAGGCCTGCCTGCATGAAGAGGGCACCTGGAGCAGCACTGCATGAGACACCAGTGGCCCTGCGTTGGGTGAGAAGCTGTGAAAGCACACCAGTAATCTGATGTCTCTCTCTTCAGCCTGAAGAGCTACAAATCTCATTTTAGATCAATGATCTTTATCTGCTTTAAAGGGTTGATGACTAAGTGAACTTTTTAAATTAAAAAACATAGTATCTTTACAGGAAGCTGCTGTACCCATTGAAAGGAACATGTGCACTACAGCTACCAAAGAAAGGATTTTCAGTGTTTTACAATCCTATATTAATACAGCTTTGAAAGCTTCTGTCATATTTCTATCCACACTTCAGCTTAATGGGTATGTGTTTATTCTTGGCACTACCTGATCCAACATGTTATTTGAAAACCAGTCTCAGCAGAGCTGGGTTTTCGTTCCAGCACAAGAAGATCCTGTTCACATCTTTTCTGAACCTACTTAATAGGGCAAGTGGCTCATCATTCTCCTCGTAAGTTGTCAACAGTGCCTTTTGCACTTTAACTCTGCTCTCAGGAGGAAAAATGGAAAGGTTAATTATGTGAACTATGTGGCAGACAGAGAAGTCTGCTGCTTCTGAGCTACAGCAAAGTATTGCTTCTGCAGTGTATTGTTTGATCTTCCATGCAATAAAGCACATGAAACCAAATTAAACACCTGTGATGCCTATTTTTTTCTACCATTTCTTAAAGCATGAACACTATTAACATGAGAGCTCCTTCATATTCCCATTTATTCAGTGACTCCCCAGGTTAACTAACCTGACTGGTTGATCTCCCTTCCTTCAGGGTGTGCAGGAGGAATGGGTGGGCTTGCAAAGGTGGTGATTCTGCAGTACATTACCAAAGTAGGTTTTTCAGTTCCATTGGCCCCATTCCACTCCCTG